GAAAACGCGCATGCAAGAGAAAAGGAATGGACAGGGCACTGTTAGACTGTGGTTCAAATCTATGCATCAGCCGCTCCTCTTGAAATCTAGAAAAGGCTGTTCCTCCCGCTGCCAAGGGGAAGGCTCCTGGCTCCGGTCGATGGACCGATGGTAGGAGAAAACAATTAGTGGAGACTCCCCCGCCCCCCCCAAACTCAAAGTTGGCACGCGCGGGGGCGACTGCGGTGGAAGCGCAACTCATCAGACGCACCGTCAACTCTGAACGCTGGGGGGAGGGGGAGGCGCTGGTCGGGGCGCCGATGGTCCCAGAGGCTCGGGCAACCCTCGCCTCCCCGAGCGCCGCCGACTGCGAGAGAGCTTGCCTCCCGCGCGCACGTCTGCGGGCAGAGAGGCCCAGACCGCCTACGTCGTTGGCTCTCGGTCGAACGACGCGAAGGGCCCCCTGAGCTCCTGGCGGCGCAGTCGTTTCAGAACAGGAGGCTCCGCCCTGCTTCGGGCCCTGGGACCGTTTGGGATCGATCCGGCCTGAAGAGTGCGGCAGGGAGAGAAGGGGTTCAGGGCTCCGGTCGAGGTGTTCTACGATGTTGTTGTGACTCGGCTCCGGTCGAGGTGTTCTACGATGTTGTTGTGACTCGGACCTCAGGGACCCTACCTATACGTAGCCTCCGTGTTCGCGTGACCCCATTTCCCAGGGACCTGCTGCTCGTCGCGACCTGCGCCTTGCTGCGGTCCCGGGGCCCGCCCAGGACGCGAAACAAATAATGCTTCGTTATGTCTACTGTTCTTCGGGGGGCCCCAAATGGTGTGGTGACCACACCGTGTGGTGAGTCAGTGTGGATTCGGGGTGACCGCACGGTTTTGGGACTTGGTTCGTTCTTTGGGGACGTCTCGGTCGACTGGGGCCTCCAAGGTCCCAAAGCCGCGCGGTGACAGACCGTGCGGTGGCAGACCGTGATTCCGAGGTCACCGCGCTGGTCTTTCACCGCACCGTTTCGGGACCCCCAAGGTTTGCATATTACAGGGAGGTATTGGGTTCACAATCGGTCATGGTGGCTTGGGGATCTGTTCTCGTTCCAGTGCTTCTGCGTCTCCGGCGGGGGCTGCACGTCCAGGCTCTGGCTAGATGTCACAGTCTGGAGGGATACCCTCAGGAGGAGGAGAGGAGGATGCGGAGGGGGAGGGGGAAGCGTGTGTTCAAATGATGTTCCCTGGGCCCCAGAGGGCTCTAGAGTGTTGTAAGGGCGGCCACGTCGCTCCAGAGGATTCTCTGGGTCCTTCCCTTGCTCCTGCCACTCTCTTGCGGGGGAGAAAGAGGAGGAGGAGGTGGAGGAGGAGGAGGAGGAGGAGGAGGAGCAGGAGGAGGACGAGGAGGAGGAGAAGGAGGAAGAGTACAATGAGGACGAGGAGGACAAGGAGGAGGAGGAGGAGGAGGAGGAGGAGGCGGATGGGGGGGCGAAGGATGAGAATGCAAGGAAGGGTGGGGATGAGCCCCTGTGTTTTGCCGCGAATCAGCCGCAATGGACCACGCGACTGCCTTCAAAGCGCGGGGTCCCGCACCTTTCCTCATTCCAGGGAGTTCCTGTGCAGCTCACGCCCAAAGTGCCTCAAGATAGCCCGAGAGTGACCCAGTAAGATCCTAAAGGGCCACAAGAGGGCACCAAGATATGACAAAAGATCAGCCCCATGCCATGTCTCAGGGGGTCGCTCGACTAGCGCAAGCCTTGATGATTTGAGGGAGTTGATGTGGAACTCACGTCATCCTGACCCCCAGCGCGCGAGAAAGTGAGGTCAACTTGCGGCACCGTGTCCGGCGAACTTGACGGAATCCTGTGCAGAATCCCAAAACGGCGCCCTCGTCCGGCACATCCTCGCAAGATCGGCCACAGGGGAGGGGCCGAGATTGTTGAATGTATTGTTTCCAGCGAATCTGTCGGAGCCCGACGCAGAATCACAAGCCCTCGCTCGGGACATCCTCGCCCACTCCCTCGTCATCCTCACCGTCATCGTCGTCGACGGCGTCACGGAAAAAAAACACCATTTGTTGTATATACAGGAACTCCAGATTAACCGCAGAGCGGTTGGCCAGTACTAGTTCTTTGTCTTTGTTATCCTCCATCTCGTACTCACCTTATCGGGGGCTTGCACTGTTCCGACGACCCTTTCAAGCATAGCATGGACCTGCTCGTGGGGCCGACCCTTTGGGCATATCTAGGAGCCCTCGCGCGGTCGTGTGGGGTCTCAGTGGGCCTCCCTTGAGCTCTCTCGGGACCCTCATTGGGCGTGTTGGGTTACCTTGGCGTCTCTTCGTGGGCAGTTCTCGAAGGTATTCGGGCCACGTTGCGGACGTCTTGGGGCCATCTTTGTGCGTTCCTGGGCCGTCTTGATGCCGCTGTGAGGGGCCTCATCGGACGCAAGCTGGATCCTATGGGGGATATTGGGCCCCCTCGGGGGCACGCTGAGCCGCCTTGGGGCCTCCTGACGGCCTTTTATACCCTGTCGGGGGCGTGTGCAGCCCATCTTGGGGACACCTTGAGTCGAAGAGTGGAGAACAAATTCCACACTGCTGGCACTAGGGTTGAGATCAGACCCAGCTTCGGAAGGGTTCCTTATGCTCTTCGTGATTTGGGCTCTCCGACTTGGAATGCTCTCTTGTTTGGGGTCTCTTCTTGAGGTCTGGGGCGTTTTCGGCGAAGGGCCTCGTGTTCTGTACACGCAGTGTTGTGGCCGCGTGTCGACTGCACAGGAACCAGCGCGACTTGAAGACGCCTGGGCCTCGGATTCTCTCCGCGGAGCCATCTTGGGGAATCTCCCAGGTGGCCGTGATGAGTGCCGCTTTGAGAGCTAACTGGGGCCGGGCCAGAGCCAGCCTTGGCCACACTCCGCCGTCGAGGGGGCATTCAGCATCTTGGTCGGCCTTGAGGCCAGGTTTGACCACCCGTTGAAGCCTCCATAGCCCCTTGTCTTGGCGGCGCACTTCGGAAGCAAAGCTGTGTCGCCGAATTCTGTAGGATGCCTGTCCGTCGGTTTTCCCTCGCCCCTCCTCCTGTGCCTCCTCGCCTCCCCCCCTTCTTCTCGTGGGTGTGGCGATGTATTTGTGGCCCCCTGGGTCGTTCGGTGGAGCCGCAATTCGATGCGACTTGGCCCTGCAGCGTCCATAAATGCCTACATCTCTGTCCCACAAGTGAATCATGCCCTTCGCTCCCCTCCTTCGAAGTGAAACAGGTTAGCCATTCACCTTCCAGACGGGTCTAGAGGAGTGCGCTGAGGAGTCACGGCCTTCGCGCCCCCTCCCTGAACCCCCCAAAACAATCTGTTGGCCTCCAGTGGTGGGGGAGGGAGGGGGACAGCCAGACATCTCACTCGCCTTGTCACCCCCCAGCAGGCGGGGATCGGCAGACTCGAGGAAGGGCGAACATGGATTAGCGACGGTTCCCGTTTCAGTGCAGAATCCGCGAGCTCCGTCGCCAAATCGGGCGGCACCGTCTTCACGTTTCGGAGGTATCTCACCCGATGCGTAGATCTGGCGCCCACGAGCCAGATCCAGAGATCCCTACTCCATGTCAGCGTGTGCCCGAGATTCAAACGATTGTGTTTCATCAGCGCACCTTAACGACAGTGTTGCCAGAAGGGATGGGCGCAGCAGGCGGCACAGCGCTGCGGGCCAGGCTCCCGGCGGGCCGACTTCTCGGCGCCGCCGAGCATGGACGATGGCTAGAAGACCCGTTTCTGGGCGCGCCAGCCCCGTACTATACAGTGGAGACCCATGCCAAGAAGCACCTTGCGTGCCTCCAGGGTGCCCAGGGTTTCTTGGGTTTCGTTGCGTTTGCTGTGGAAAGCGCGACGTTCCCACACCAAAATCCAACGAACGTCCTGGGGTCTCAGGGTTGGGTTTCTGGTGGAAGGTTTCTTGTGGACTGGCCTCCACTGCATTCTATTGCAAGCGCGAGAAGAGCCCTGTGGCGAACGGGCCGCTTCAAGCTCGCACGCCCAGCTTTCCCAGGGCTGGCCCGCCTGGCCCCGTTTCCTCCTCCGCACTTAGTCGTTTTGGCCCCAGCTGCCTCCACAGGAATCGCTCGAGTCCTCGCTGCCACAGCAGCCCCCCTCTCACCCGCCGCGCGGCCAGCCCAGTGGTTTCTGCAGGGACACCGCCGCATCCGCTCATATGCCGTCTCCGGCCGCCACGCCCCAGCTGACGATCCCGCTGACGCCCGTCAGCCACCGCAGCCTGCGGGCGCCGTCCGACGACTTGGACCTGTCATTCAACTACACGCGCCGGCGGCAGCCCGCCTTCAGCTTCGGGTCCCTGTTCGAGGGCTCCACCCCTGGCGGCCCCGTGGCATCGCCGTGGATGGGCACGCACCGCCAGCAGGTGAGCTTCTCCGACGACATGGACCTCTCCGTCAACTACACGCGCCGGCGGCAGCCTGCCTTCAGCTTCGGATCCATGTTCGAGGGCTCCACTCCCCGCGGCCCCACGGCGTCGGCCTCATCGCCGCGGGCGGGCACGCACCGCCGGCAGGTGGGCTTCACCTCGCCCACCTCGGCAGGGGCCAGGCACCACCGGGTCAGCTTCCACAGCACCGTTGACGCGATCGGGGGGGACGCTGAGGACAGCGCGGGAGATGGCGGGGCCAGCCTGCAGCCTACTGGCTGGGAGTTCGGCGGCGCCACGCCGGTCTTCAGAGTAGCAAGACGTACCGAGTCCGCGGCCCTTCCCTCGTCGCCACGGCTGGAGTCGCCTGGAAATATCCTTGCCAGAACCGCGCCCCAGGAGAGGTCCCTGGAGTAGCGGCATCGGTATACTTCCTGCCCCGCCGAGGTCTCCTTCGTGGCGCGCTCGCGCTCGGAGCGCAGCATCGGCACGAGCGAGTGGGCAGCACAGCCGGGCACGCCGGGCTCCGACTCGGTGGTGCTGGCGCGCACCTGCGACGCGGAGGAGCTGCACGAGCTCCTGCTGCGCCCCGCGCGCACGGCACGGCCCTGCGCCCGGGGCCGGCTGCTCGCGGTGGCGGACCCCGCCCGGGCACGCCGGCGAGACACCAGCGGCAGGTCTCCAGGAGGGAAGACAACACACACACAGACACAAAGAATAGCCGACTCCCAGGAGGATATACGGGAAGTGTGTGGGGGGGGGGGGAAGACGGACACTTCAAGAACACATGAGAAATCTAAGACATCCTGGGATCTGTGTGTGTGTTTATGTCGTGTGTCCCTGGGCCCCCTCAGGTCTGCCGGACCCCCATCGGCGCACAGCCCTCGCGCAGGGGGGCTCGACCCGGGCAGCCCCGGCGGCCGCGGGGAGGCAGAGTGGCTGCAGAGCAGCCTCTCGGCGGCAGAGTGGCTGGTAGAGCCGCCGCCTCCCGCCGCGGGCGTCGACGAGGCCGGCGGGACGGGCGCCAGGAGCGGCGGCACCGGGCCCGGCGGCCGCTCAGACGAGTGGCCTATCCAGGAGGAGGAGTGCTCGGTGGCAAACCATGGGAGCCTGGTAGATACCCTCGCAATTCCGTCTTCAGCGTGGAGTAGCGCCTGGAGTCGACGGGGTGGTGCCAGTTCAGCGTTTGCTGGCGTCGATGAGCGTCGATTTAGCATCGATTAGCGTCGATGTAGCGTCGAATAGTGTCAATTAGTGTCTGGAGTCGATGGGTTAGCGCCGATGTAGCGTCGGTTAGCGTCGGTTCGCGTCGATTTAGCGATTTAGCGTCGATTTAGCGTCGCCGATCGTCGATTCGCAAGAGCCGACAAGATGGTATGGGAGGCTCCCGTGAGTTGCCACCGAAGGAGTGCGCCATCTGCATCGAGCCCTGGCAGTGTGGAGACTGCGTACAGCCGATGCTGCGGTGCTCGGGGGGCAACGTCAGGAAGTGGGCATGGGCTCCTCGTGGGAGCGCATCGACCTCCAATCGCCCATTGATCGCCGACAGGGGCATGTTAGCCCAACCCGCCCAGGAACATGTGATTTCGTCATCGGGGGCATAGCTCCGATCTATCGGCGAAATGTATCGCTATATATATATATGTATATGTATATATGTGTGTGCATATGTATGTATGCATATATATATATATATATATATATATATATATATATGCAGAGATACACACCACATATATGAACAGACGAGTCCAGGTGAAGGGCCCCCCCTGAGCCAGTCCGTTCGATTGGGGGCAGGGGTCCTGCAGGATAAGTTCACGCCCAGGGAACTGGATCCTCGTCGTGGTTAGCCTTGTCACCGAGATTACCACCCTGAGCTCGGCCGGTTCTTTCAATATCTTGCTCTCTCTCTCTCTCTCGTTCGTCTCGCCCCCCCCATGGGTCGGAGCATGCGGGCTTGGGCTCGACATCGTGCGCGAGAACTTCACGCCTATAGGGAGCGAGAAATAGTGTCTGGCTAGCCTCTTCCTTAAGATTCTCCTCCAGTGGTCGGGGTGCTTCTCGCACTACTTCCCCCCTAGGAGTAGCTCCGTAGTGCACCTAAGTTCGAGAAGGCGCTTTCTACGGAGGAGAAGCTGATGCTGTCTATCTTTCGCGGAGGGGCCTGCCAAACGCATCAAACGCACACTCGTCTGAGAAACAACATGTGTTGCAGCTGCCCCCTACCCAGTGTCCGCCACCTGTTTCAGGAGTGCCCCCACTTCGCGGAGAGGCAGAAGAGGAGGATGAGGAGGATTGCGGCAGAGTTGAACGTTGCTTTTTCTTCTTGGGCCAGTGCGCCCAGAGTCACCAGTGCGAAGTACGAGTGGCTGGGTGGTGTATGCTGCCTCGCCCATCTTGGATGTTCGCTCGCGCATGCTTGTCGGAGCCTGCCGACTGGGCCCTGGCATCGTGCGCGAGAACTTCCTGCCTGGGGAGCGAAGTTCTGGGCCTGGCTGGCTTTTTCTCCAGAACAGGCCAAGCATAAACATAAACTTGTGGCGCTTTGCGAGGACTTCTTGGATCCGCGCTGGGACCCCCCTGGCGGCGCCTCCAGCCCCGCCCCTGGCGCGCGCGCTCCGCGCGCCAGGGAGGGGGCGTCCCAGCGCAGATCCAAGAAACCCGCGCGGAGCGCCACAAATTTATGGTTGTGGCCTGTTGCCCTTTTGTTTCGAGATTATAATCCTGAGGCTGGTGTTTCTCTCATGCAGTGGGGGGCCACGTCAAGAAACACCCTGCGTGCCTCCAGGGTGCCCTGGGTTTCTTGGAGTTCGATGGTTCTGCCATGGAAAGCGTGACGTTCCCACCCCAAAAAACAGTGGATGTCCTGGGGTCTCAGGGTTGGGTTTCTTTGTCGAAGGTTTCTTGTGGTCGGGCCCCTACTGTAACCATTCCCCCCCTGGCTGGCCTCTGACTCTATATCAGAATCCTGAGGCTGAGGGTTTCTCAAATAACCATTCCCCCGGAGGAGGAGGAGGAAAATGAGGAGGAGGAGGAGGAGGAGGAGCAGGAGCAGGAGCAGGAGCAGGAGCAGGAGCAGGAGCAGGAGCGGGGGGAGGAGGAGGAGGGGGGAGGAGGAGGAGGAGGAGGAGGATGAGGAGGAGGAGGAGAGGAGGAGGAGGAGGGGAGGAGGAGGGGGGAGGAGGAGCGGGGGGGGAGGAGGAGAGGAGGAGGAGGAGGAGGAGGAGGAGGAGGAGGAGGAGGAGGAGGAGGGGAGGAGGAGGAGAGGAGGAGGAGAGGGAGGAGGGGGGAGGGGAGGGGGAGGGAGGGGGAGGAGGAGTGGAGGGCCCAGGTGCAGGCACCTGTTCCACCGCCGCTGCGTCCTCGCGTTCCTCCGGGCGCGCCTCGCCGAGGGCTGGCCCGCGCGCACGGTCCTCTGCCCCCTCTGCCGCGGGGGCCTGCTGGCGGAGAGCCGCGCCCAGCTGCCCGACGAGGAGCGACTACACGTCAGAGAGACCTTTCGCGGGAGTGACCTTTCGCGCGGGCCCAATCCTCCTCCTCGTCCTCCTCCTCGTCCTCCTCCTCCTCCTCCTCCTCCTCCTCCTCCTCCTCCCTCCTCCCCCTCCTCCTCCTCCTCCTCCTCCTCCTCCTCCTCCTCCTCCTCCTCCTCCTCCTCCTCCTCCTCTTCCTCCACCACCAACTCCTCGGGCCCAATTGGGCCCCCCGATCACCGAGCGCGACACGATGATAACGTCTCGTGCCCTTGTGATTGGGCCCCTTGCGGCCCCCAAGAAGCCGCACACCAGAGGTTGCTCTTTACCCTGGGCCGCTCCTGCGTGCAGTCGAGAGGAGCAGGCCGAGGCGCCGTCGGTGGCGGCCGCCCTGCGCGACGATGACGCTGCCGAGCGGGCCGCGGGGCTTCTGTGAGCTCAGGGGCAGCGATACGGTCAGGACGCTGAAACAAGGGCCGTTTCGGGTTCGGAGGGGGGCCCGCAGTTCTTCAGGTCCCTCCGTGGTCGTTCCTCTAGCCCTCCTCGTGCACCCAGGCACTTCTGGCGCCACAAAGGGGTGTCGTTCCTTATGTAGCGTTCTGGTAGCACCTCGACTGAAGGGGGGGATAGGCACAGGGGGAACGCATCGACCCCCAATCGCCCGTTGATCGCCGATAGCGGTCCAATAGCCCCAGCCTGCCCAGGAACGTGAGGATTCATTATCGGGGGCTTATCGCCGATCTATCGGCGATGTATCGCTGATTCCGGTACCATGTCCCCCCTTGGGCGTATCCCCCCCCCCCTATTGTTGCCCCTCGTGAACCCGTCCAGTCTGATTTCGCGCCCTCCCCCAGCGGGCGCGGAAGGGCAGCCTGCTCACCGGCGCTCGGCGCCTGGGCTGCAGACACAAAGTCAGCGTTAGGGATGGGCCCTTTTCGCGAGGGCACTTTGCATCACGACGATGACGAATGACGACGACGGCCGACGACGACGCCAGTGACGACGACGACGACGACGACGACGACGACGACGACGACGACGACGACGACGACGACGACGACCACCACGACGACGACGACGACGACGACGACGACGACGACGATTGTATCGCGTGTCCGGTATCCCCGTCCCAAGGGTGGGTACCCTTGCGAGGGCGCGCATTCCAAGGATCTCGCATCCTCACGCTCCATCCTTATGATTGGTTTTGCCTGTAGGTTGTAGATGTTCGAGTGCATTGCGATCGCGCGCTCTCTCGGCCTCAGCAGCGCTAGGCTGCTGGCACCCCTGACTCGCAGCCTTGCTTGGCGGCGCCCAGACGGGGGGGTGGCGTGAGGGGTGTGGGCTTCTAAGAAGGCGGGGGTGCTTCTTAGAAGGCAAGGGCCTTCTTCGACGCGCCCGGGTGTGTTTCAGAAAGCGCTTCTAGACGCCAGGAGAGCTTCTAAGAAGCCCCCGTGCCTTCTCAGAAGTTCCCCCCCGGTTTCTCGAAAGGGCGCCCCCCTTGCGCCATCCCCTTTTGCGCGCTTCCAAGTTGCGTACGCGAATAAATAGCCCTGGGCGCATTGCTCTCCCTGTCCAGAACTTTCAGTGCTGCCCTTGGGCGTTTGTCGACGTGCCGAATTCGGAACCACGGCTGCGTGCAATTGCGTGGCTTACGTCCGCGCGACCCTGCTGAATTCGGCCCCCGTCCCGGGAGGGGGGGGGGGGTACCCCCGTGCGGGAGGAGGACCGAGGTGGAAAGGAGGAAGTGCTGCTCTCCCTGATCCTGGCTGTGCCCGTGGGCCCAGGAGCAGAGCTCCTCCACCCCTGGCAGAGCGGCGAGGGGAGGGAGCTGCGCTCCTGGCTCTGCGCCGGGCCCGTGGCCCGCAGGAGCAGACACCTCCGCAAGCCTTTCAGGGTGGCCTGGCGCAGAGCTGTTCCCTCCCTCTCTCTCTCTCAGTTTGTGCGTCCGTCGACGTGCTTCTCAGGCGAAAAGCGCTGGCCCTCCTCGCCTTGCTCGTTGCCGCGTGCTTCGCCGGGGCGGGCAGGTGTCAAAAGTGAAGCGCGCTGCCTGCTCGAACACCGAAGCACGATACGTGTGCGCGCACAGACCTAGAC